CGATAATGCAACGGCCATTGATGAACGGCGAATTCTTAAAGGCGAATGCTCATCGAAGAGTTCTGCGCAATGCAGTGCAAATTTTCGGTTCTGCGGCTCATGCGTCGCACACAACGTGGGAATATATACAGGGACGGGCAAAATGGTTATGTACAGGGTGTGCTAAGATATTTTCATTAAAGGAAAAGCTAAAGGATATCTTATTTTAGTTTGGGGACACAATACCAATTATTATTGGTTTGTGATAATTCCAAGCTGATGTTCCCAAGCGAGTACGTAACAATTTCGGTACACTAATTATTATTATTCTTGGGTTATTTAAATAAATGCAAAATGTTTTCATTCCACAGCGAGAACACTTTAATTTCAGGTACGTCTACGATTAAATCTCATAAATAAGACCGATTCTATTAAAAAAGAAAACCTCAAAAATATTTCAAGACAATCAAAACCAGTTTTTTAACAGAAATAACAGAAAATTTTGCAAATTGCAGGTCAGCAACAAATTAAAAAAGTATGTAGGTAGTACTAGGAGAAGAGCAGTAACCTTGTAACATTGATTAGACTATTGGTTTTATAAGATCATTATGCTTAACCTGAAGCCAGTTTGGGTACCTTATTAAACTATGCTAGAATTTCCGAAGGAATTTCGAAATTTGGTGTTTATTTATCTTAATTTCGTTTACTTTAATGTAAACGATTAATCTTATTTGTACAAATTACGCCAAGTTCCGTAACTGCATATATTTGCTAAAACAGTTAGCAGTTAAAATTATACATCTCGTTAAGGAATTCGACTTTGAGTTAGTTTCTATCAAACAATTTTAGTTTGTTTAATCGCATTACTAAAACAAAGGTTGTCGTTTTTATTAAGATGCCGTCAATGTGCGCCTATTCGGCAAACTTTTTACCATTTTGTTCAATATCAAAAGCGTATGCTCGGCTTCCTTGTTATTGCTTCACTTTGAACACAAATATGATATTATTAAGTCCATCAGTTCCTGGAAACGTAATGTAAAAAATAAAATGGGGTCGTATAGAAATTTGAAATTGACGTATTGACTATCTATTGACATAATATGCCATTTACGTGTCTAACTTGACATGAAAAACCTGTAAAATAAAATTCTAATAATGTTTTGATTTCGTAACAAGATTTGTAAAGGAACTTTCCGGCTTGATATATCCAAATGCAACAAACATGTGTAATAAAGCAGATACGTGCGTTCTTTGGCATTTTATTGCGTGCGTTACAGACAACATTCGCGTCCTTAAGTGGAAATTTCTCGGTTAGAGAAAACTTATAATGGAATTCTTCGTTTTTGCGCTCCCTTAGGTGGAATAATATAATAAAATGTCTGCGGTTATAGTCCATGGCCTTTTTATAACTAATTTAGAAAAAATAATTTTACTGTAACACGTTTTGTGCCACATACTTAATTAAATTTTACTACGTCATAAACGTATCACAAGATACACCATTACAAGCAAATAATTTTTTTCTTGAAGACAACTGTCCCCATAAACATTTTCCCTTGCTGAATTAGGTTTCACAAAGCAACCGAAATGTTCCGAGTAGGAAAATGGTTAATTTTAATATTCTTTAAGTTTATATACAACTAGATTTCAAAGAACAATCGAAAAAAACGAATTTTAGAACTTGGTTTTCAACTATATTTATCAAAATGCGACAAGTAAAGTACAGTAGCTTAAAGACAAGCGAATACGTTATTTTTTTCGTTAAGCACGAAAAATGTCCTTTTTACGGATGACGAAAGGTTTGCATAGACATTACGTAGGGAATTTTTCTTTGTCCAACCGCTTTCCTTCGCCCAAAGACAACCACCTCAGGTAAAGCATTTCGTCAAATCATACAAAATTACACAAACAAGCAAAGTCTAATTTTTTCTGAAATTCTCTTTAAGTAGTCTGGGCCGACATGGAAACAAAATTAATTGGTGGCACGTTCTTAGAAACAAACGTTGAGATTATTCAATGTCGAGTTTGAGAACAAATTTTGCTTCTTAAAAAATACGTTTTTCGACGAGGACATCATCGTCAGGTGAATGTTTTAATTGTAAACCAGGTGGATAGACGGACCACGCCTCCTTTTTTTTACACGTCAATATTGAGTCGCACTTCGCTATTTTGATCTAATGCCCTTCTTTCTTCTAGTATTGTTTTAATTTCTTTTTTCTATGCTTTGCGGAATAAATTATTGTCTTAATTGTCAATTAGTTAACGGTGTGTAATCGAACTCAAAGATCGACCCAGATTTCATGTCAGATATTTTTATTCGTGCCCAACAGCCCTGTTAGCTGTTAATTAAAATTTGTGTAGTTAATTCTTTGGAATTGTTGGGTGTTGTTCGAAATTGGGTCTTTCAAATTATTAAAATTTAAAGTCAACAATGGGATTTTTATAATAATTAATTTTTTTTGCGTTTCACACAACATCATGAATAGGTATCTATGAGCCAATTTATTTTCATTAATTTAAATTCAAACTTTCAGCTTCTTTGATTGGCAATGACACTTTCTCATTGATGTCGTTTAGGTAAACTAATCAAAGAAATTGAGGATTATTCACGTTATTGTTACAGTATATTCTCTTTTCTTTAAACGGAACAGTATGTTAAAAATAAACTAAAACGGCGTGACTGTTAGTTAATAGCAGTAGAGAAACGCGCGCCCCGAATATTAGTATAAATATCACGTCGTCCTCTCGAAAGTTATGGTGCGCACCGTGCAATTTGCGAAAAAACGGTAATGCTCTTTAAACAAGTTATTTTTTATAAATCGATAAAGCATTACGGTGGAGATCTCTTGTTGATTGATACCTAGCAGTGTCGTAAAGTATAAGCTTTTCCAAAATCAAACCTACCGAAACATTTTAGAAAGAACAAGATTCTTAAGCAATTGAAGGCAAAATGGGCTTAATCGATTCATTTATTCTTAGTGGGCGAATTTCATTTGATTTACTATCAGATCCAGAAAATTGGTAATCTATTTGTCAGAAGCAAAAGCCTGCGCCTTTTTGGAATATTTAATTAAGCTTTCCTTATACACAGCCCACATAAATTCATGCAGACGTAACTGTATATCAAAATACGGTTATATCTATATGTATCAATTTGTGACATTTATTACATTTAAGTAAAATATGTGTGCGTATCCCTTCCAGACTTCTAGGTATATTTTCGTCTAAGGTCGTAAATAAGGGATTCCTTACAAATTCTTTAGTTTATATCAAATTAATATCAAAGATGGATGTTGTGAAATATTTGGAAGATATTGCCGACAAACAGATAATGATATTTCGATATATAAAAGGGCGACTTTTAACGACAAACATATTTGTTTGTAGCAACAATGATCATGTTATTATTGAATAATAATAATAATAATAATAATAATAATAATCCGTGCGATTAGTGAACCAGGCTAGACCTGAGTTCTCACAAGAAACACCGATAATAATAATAATAATAATAATAATAATAACCCTACATAACTTCACCAGACACAGACACAGACACTAATCGTTACTTGATTTTAATCCGTGCGATTAGTTAACCAGGCTAGACCTGAGTTCTCACAAGAAACACCGACAATAATAATAATAATAAAGTCTTTTATTAAATCATGCCACACACACAATTTAACAGGGCGAAGTTCAGATGTTGGGCTACTCACGGCGACCCAACTCTGCTCTTACACTTAACCCTACTATAATGAAAAGAAATCAAAATCTAATTGGGAATTGTACAGAAAAATAACGAATTACTTTGTAATGGGAAAAAAAATAAGTACATAAATAACTTTATGAAAAACAAAATGTATGAAAAAAAATAATAATAAAAATAAATAACTTACAGTCACATGGGTTATAAAATTTAACTCAAATCAAACGTTTGCCTAGCAAAAACAATGTTATGAAGTGCCTTCTTAAATTTCCCGACGGGTATGTTTTTTAAACTATTGCTTAAAGCATTATATTTTTTAGAAATATTGTATGAAAATGATCTTTCATATAATTCCGTTTTATGAATTGGTGGTATAATTAAGTTAACAAATCTAGGGTTGTTACTAAATTGAATTTTGTTATATAAATAAAGAGGTTCATTTATTGTTACCACTTTATGGTATAAGACCATCTCATGCACATATCTACGATTTTTCATGCTTAGCCATCCGGTTCCTTTCAATTTGTGTGATGATGATGCTTTCTTATTCCATAAATTAGTCTCAAACAGGAATTTTGAATTTTTTGGATTCTATTGGAATCATAATCCAAACATGGTCCGTACACATTAGCACAATACACAAACTGTGACAGGACAAGTGAGTTACAAAGCGAAATTTTCATTTGTTGATTAAGTATAGAACGTTGATTAAAAATTAATTTTAAATTTGAGTACGCTTTTCTTATCCTATTTGTAACAAGTGATTTAAATCTCAACTTGGAATCAATTTCTAACCCAAGAACTTTCACATCATCTTTAATTGGTAGAATTTCATCGCCCACTTTTATAATTATATAATCTTTCCAGGCCTCTCTTTCTTTTGCTCCTCCAAAGATGATTACAGAGGATTTTAATGGATTTACTTTTAAGTTAAGTTGTTTCGCCGATTGTAATAAGTCGTTGAGGTCACTATTCATTCTCTCATTCGCAAGGTCTAAATCTTTACTAAAGAAATTATATTGTAACTGCGTATCATCAGCATATTGATAGCACGTTGCATATTTCAGGCAATTGGGGAGGGTGGCAGTGTATATAATGAACAAAAGAGGTCCCAACACCGACCCTTGTGGAACTCCCATTGCTACAGGTGTTGACAATGATTTATTATTATTCAATACTACCTGTTGCGTCCGATCAGTAAGATAGTTCTTAATCAGAGCACACGCATTGTTGCTAAAGCCAAAATAATGCAAAATGCTTATCAATATATTGTGATCTATTAAGTCGAACGCTTTAGTAAAATCTAGTGATACCATCACTGAAGTTTTCCCTGATCTAAGGCTGAAAAAATATCGTCTGTAACATTCAACAACGCGGTGCTGCAGCTATGGTTTTCTCTAAACCCAGATTGTGACTGTGGTAATATATCATTATCAGACAGATGGTATTTTATCTGAGATGCCATAATCTTCTCTAAAATTTTAGAAAGAATTGGTAAAATGCTTATTGGTCGCAATTGAGAATAACTTTCAGGATTACTAACTTTCGGTAGTGGTATAACATTGGCATTTTTCCAAATTTTTGGTACTGTACATGATTTTAAGCAAAAATTTATTATGTAGGTTAAATGTGGTGCAATATAAGGGCAACATAAACACAACATTTTTGTACCAATTCCATCTGATCCAACAGACTTTGTTTTAATACTAAATAACACATTTAAAACATCCATCTCGGTAACTTCACGAAAATGCAACGTACTAACAATTTTCTCACATGTATGCTCGGTGTAATACTTAACTGTATCAGAAGCTATCCCAAGATCAGAATCTACAGAGCTTGTAAAGACTTTATTGATGGCATTCACATCAGATAGATTTGGTGGCACAGTTAATTTATCTTTCGAGTATACATTGAGATCTCTCAAGTTCTTCCAGGGAACTCCCTTTCCTAGCTGTTGGAGTTGGTTTTCCAAAAATGCTTTCTTTTCCCTTCTAATAGCCTGAGTGGTATAATTTCTAATTGCCTTATAATAATTCCAATCTGTGCACGATTTTGATTTTTTAAATTTCATTAAAGCCTTATCACGTAAAAGAATCATCTGACGTATAGTGTCAGTAAGCCAAGGAGCTCTTGGTTTAGTGACTCGCACAGTCTTTATAGGTGCATGGCAATCGAAAATAGTAAGTATATTGTAATTAAGAAAATCAACCATGTGCTCAACGTTATCACAAGTATAAATATAATCCCAGTCAATACTTTGCAAGTCCTTATCGAAATTATTGATTGAAAATGTTGAAAAATCATTATACGTAATTAATGTAGGCACTTTACTTTGCTTAGTAGTCACTGGGTAGTTACAAAAAACTAGAAAATGATCAGTTACTTCATGCAACGAAATAACACCATGGTGGGCAATTTCCTTACTGACAGGAACAATAATAAAATCAATTAAGGTAGCCGTTGCTTTTGTTATCCTAGTCGGTTCGTCAATAATTTGTTTTAACTCGAGCGTCTCGAGTAAATTACTGAATTGAAAAGTTGAGGTACGACCAGTATCACATAAATCTAAATTAAAATCACCGACACATATTAATTCATCGCCCTTTGGCAGAACACAAGCAAGCGAGTCCTCAAACTTACCTAAAAAATCCATGACTGTAAATTCCTGCTTTCTATAAATGACTCCAAAATTAATAACATTATGTACAAGGTTTATGCTTACCCAAATTTGTTCAAAAAAGTCATTGTCACCTACGTCATGTAATACTTTATACCATGCTTAATATAGATTCCAACTCCACCACCACGCTTTCCGGTTTTCCTATCAGAACGTTCAAAATTAAACCCATTTATTGTTATACTAGAATCACTGATACTTGGAACCAGCCATGTTTCAGATACTCCAATAACATCATAATCTAGGACATCTACAGCATATACATGATGAAAGCGAATTTTTGGTAATGTAGATCAGTATTTCACTAGCAAAGTTTAAAATTTTCGATCTCACGAGTAATCTAACCCAAAATAGACTTGAGCCTGCACATCTACCTACACTATAACAGAAGGCTTTTAGTGAAAATTTAAAGTCTCTGGCAATTGTAATTGCTGAGGTTTCAGCCCGACAGCCAGCCAGCCAGCTATAACGAATATAATAGCGTATTTTTTTTTCAAAAATGCGCTAATAATTAAGTTGTTATACCGGTAGAGCTATCTAACGGTAAATTATAGCACCTCCGAAAAACCATATCGAAATTATTTTCTTCAATTATCGATCTCACAAGTAATCCAACTCAAAATAGACGAGAGCGTGCACATCTACACTGCATCAGAAAGCTTTTAGTAAAAATTTGAACTCTCTAGTTATTTCTTTTTCAAAAATGCGCAAATAATTAAGATGTTATACTGGTAGCGCTATCTAACGGTAAAATTATAGCAACTGTCTCTTGATGTATTTATCGTAAAAACATAAAAATAAGGAAGAACCTGTACAAGCGAAATGTCAAATGATAGACGAGAAATTAATGCAAATGCAAGACGTACGTTTTGTACGGGCAATATGAATTGTGCACCGCATACTCAAGTTGCAAATTGCCATCCTTTTCTAACAAGCTGTGGTATGTGTTAGCTGTAAGAGACACAGTGAGCAGTAAGCTAATTATTACGATATACATTGACGGTTCATACCCAAGTGTGGATGGCGCAAACAATATACGTGGTTCATCGGGCCCGCCCATTTCGCCGTGGCCAGTTCGCCGTCGCCAGTCCGCCGTCGCCAGTCGGTCGGCGGGCCTCTTCGCCGTAACCCCGGTTCGCCGGCGCCAGTCCGCGACGGTCAACTGGCCCGCCGGCGGACTGGCGATGGCGAACCGGGTCGACGGCAAAGTGGCTCGACGGTAGACTGGCAACGGCGGACTGGCGACGGCAGAATGGCGACGGCGAAATGGGCTAGACTGGTGGTTCATAGTATAAATAACTACTTGGCAAAGAGACATTGACGAGTTCATTTTTTAAACTTGATTTTGTATTTCAGCCACTAAGCAACGGAACACCCAAGAAAAAATTTTAAAATTTATTAACAATATAGGAAAAATTAGTTAACACTTCATTTCATGGAATATAGGCCTTATTATCAATAAACTGAAAAAAGTCTATAAGGTTGACCCGCGGCCCCTATAAAAAACGACGTTCGATGCGTCTGTTTCCCACACCAAATAACAGCGCTGGCGATCATACAAGCTTATCTTCCTCCTTTATTCAGATTGTTGCTTTTTAACGAAAGAAATACTGGAATTTTTTGGTGTCGTATTTACAAGGAAGAGCACACAGATTCACAGACACAATTAACGATTTCTTAACGATGTAATTTATTATTGAATTTATGTTGTAAAAGAAAAATATGGACATTAGGCCAGTTTTCGTGTCAAAAGTACCAATAGAAGGGTCCATCTCTAAGACGTAATAAATACGACTGGAGTTAAATACAATCTAATTCTAAGCGATAATTTAAACGAAAAAAAGATAGTGTTAGCACTTCTCAACAGTTCATATAAAATGTCTACTCAAAAACCCTATGCGGATATTTACTGGAAAAACGAGGGAGAGAGGTATTATTTACTTTTTTCAATTGCCATGTCTATTAAGAAAGCTGCAATAAAATTGATCAAACAGTAAAATTTCAAACGATTTAGTAGGGTGGTTTTCCCTCATCGGGTAGCTGTAGCAGCGCGAGCAAAAAAAATAGACAGTATACCCCTATCGCTATCATTTTAATATTCACCTGAATAGCGTAGAGCGAAATAGGTTTTAATTCGACCCGATGAAACTGACAAACCATAGGGATAATTATACATCTGGAAGATTAGTAATTACCTCTGCTTTTATTAACAGCGAGCGACCGTAATCAATAAATAAAAGGACCGACCTAAAATTATACTATGGTTTGCGTTACACTAATTACATAACCCGTGATATCTCAATTTCCCTTGTCATTGTATGCGATCAGTTGTAAAATACGTTGAAACAGCACATGTGGAAAATATTGTAGGAAAGTGGAATTGTAACCGCAGACGTGCTTATTAACACACTTAAAGTTTATTTAAATGGAAAAGTAATCTAGCTGAAGTTTATTGGATGATACCCAACCATTACGTTGAAGTAAAATCTACCATATTTAACAATTGATTGAGTGTTAACATAGTTACCACGTCTTTCTATTTTTGGTGGTAACACTACGAGACAGGGTTGTGTACCGTGAACAGGTGCAGTCGTACATAATCTAATATGACAAAGATTATTACATGGGAGCTGTCAATCTTCCGTTTCTTTAGGTAGGTACTCCATTTTGTTTGCGTGTTTTTATAAATTGTTGTTGAGCTGGGATCCGCATTTTTACTTTTCGTTTTGACATTTTTACGTCAACGTCCAACAGGCGAATATTTGGAAAGTGTCTGTGATGGGGTCGCTCACAATGACCATCTGGAGCCATTCACCGTGACCAAGTCGTTGCAGTGGAAAGGATAAATTATACTGGCCAAGTCATGATAATTTTTTACAAAATACACGGTATGTTACCAAGCCAAATTTCGAGAAGAAAAATGATCATGAGCTTTCTTCCAAACATTTTTAGATTGAGAAGTATTTTAGAAATGTCACAATCACTTCAAAAACCATAAGATGGCAACAATGCGATGCCTACGCTATACTCACAGCCGCAATCACACTTCCCGAAACTATAACGCGTTGGGGGGCACTGCAGTTTACTCAGAATACGATAAGAGCTTTCCGACTCTCTTCACCCACAACTGGGAGACAAATCTCAAGTGCTCTTGTTTCGCGTTGTTTGCTCATGTTACATTGCGTGTATTCGATCTTCGTGCGAAATTTTATACCACGTATCATCGAAAGTCTGTATAATGATAACAAATGGAGATGTTATCGTTTACATTGTTGTACCCACCAGCTTGATTAGATAATTTACTGGCTTCCACCAACATGGTAGGCAGTACATTTTTCGTTGAATTGCAGTAAGAACAACCGAGTGAAATATGAGCTTCTTCCAAGCGTGTGCGCCTTTTCTTCTTAATTTACGCACCTTTGCAAAATGTAGCAAAACACATTGGTCTCAGTACAAGAAAATAAAGAGACACGTAAAAAATAAAATTAAGGTACAAAAATTACTTGATCGAAACATTCCAAAAAATGTCTTATCATTATTATACAGAAAATAAACAAATACAACAAAGACAAACTTAACTGCACGCTCGATTTGGAAAATTGTTCTCAGACCTAGGACATTAAACAAAGAAAAAATTTTGATAACATTAATTAGATAATCAGACACCCGAATTGATTTCAAATGTCTTAAAACCAAATACAACCTCCTGACTGACATTGTTTACACAGCACTGCCGTAAACGTTTGTTTCAAAATCTGATTATCTGTTCAAATTTGACGTTTTTGGTTACAGTAATACATTCGCATATAGAAATGAACTGAGCGAGAGAGAAAAAGTAAGAGGCAAGCTCTTTCTCACCTGCAGTATCCGCGAGCTTTGGGACACGCAGTCCAAAGGTATATGTCGATGCAGCAGTGTAATTTTTTATAATAAATATACTTTAGGTGATGAATGATGGCAACCAAGCACTGTTGTCAGCTCGCTACATTTTTTAAATATACATGTAATTGAATAAGTTAGTCATCAACATTAGATAACATTTGAAACTGTAATTGAGATTAAACATACCTTCATATTTATATGTGAGTTCTGGTTTTAGGTAACATATACCTAAAAAAAATTAACAAGTTTGAAAATCGAAAATGAGTAAAGGTAAGGTAAGGATAAAATTTCAGAAACTGAATCATCAAAACATGTTTCTTAATCAGAGTCTCGCAATAATTAATTGAGGACTATGTGCAACTGACAAATTTCCAATATGTTTATCCAATCTGTAGCAATTAATTGTTGACAATGTTTACAAAAATTTTGCCATATTATTCATTATCATAACACATTTTTCTGGTAGTCTTGCTAAAGCAGGAATTAATTAATTGATCGTCCACCTTTGTAATATTATTCCACTCATTGTTTTGTGTTAGGCCCAGTCATTATTCGCTGCATCCAGGGAAAGCTCACATTCTTCCAAAAAACCAAACCGGTACTCTCCATGTAAGATGGTGAATCTTTTGCCTTCACTTCTAATTTTTGAAGGATAGTTTTTTAGGTCTTCGTGAACCCACTGACAGACATTTTATTTTGATATAGAAGAAATTTTCTTTAAAATACCGTTTGATGTCATAAAATGTGTCTGTTTACCAGAATTTCTCGATCATAATTAATTTTATGTCTTATTAACCTATCATAGCACATTTTATATCTGTGATACGCGGGCATAAAGTGGAACATTAAGTATCACCATAGTAACTCATTCATACTTAATGACAAAACTAACAAATATTTTCAGGTCATTGAAAATTAGAAACGTCAATTATTAATTGTCAATACCTACTAAATCACAAGATTGGCCTTATTTCGTATAGTTTCTGGAACTTCTTGCTCATTCACAATGAATTGAATTATTTAAAATTACATTTGACGTTCGGATGGTTTCAATCACATTAGCAAATATAACGCGCGAGCTGCAAAAGGCAAGGCGCTACAAAAAAAATACCATGTGCTTTTTAAATAAAAAAAACACACGCCGCTGACCGGCCAGCTAGCTCTGTTGACAAAAGGGTAAACAGCGGAGAGAGCAAGACAAATATACAGGGACGTAGGTAAAAGAATTCAATACAATTGGTAATGGCTCCGTAGCTATCCTCGATTTCAACTCAATCTTCTCTACTTACGGTTAGAGGTTCTGGTAGAGTCTTTTGGGCGCCACCTAATTCGTCCAATTTCGCTTATCACTACCCGAACTAGGAAAGGTAGCTTAGCTTGAAAAATATGTAACTATAATCCCACAAAAATAATTATTTATTGGGGCGCTCTGCACCTTCAGAAAAGCACAACCAAAACTTCGGTTCCCCAATGGGAATCCCAAAAACTTAGGTCCAACTATGAGGCTTTAAAAAATAAATACTCCAAATTAATTCAAACATAAAACATTTACAAAAAAAAAATTTCCCCCATGAAATACGGAATAAAACCCACCAGAATCTCTGGGGTCAGAACACAAATATTGTTACCGTGGCACAAGTGATGAATTAGATAAAGTGATTTCAATCCCTTAATCGGTAGCTTGGGGGCAATGAAGTGGTTCAAGTCGTTACGAGCTCGTACGTTACATACTGGTTATTACTTCGTACATGGGAGTAATACTTAAGTGATTATCAATTATCGTATCCCAATATTCCAAGCTGACTAATTAACAGTATTACTATTGGCTTTAGTGCATATGCCAATTACCACAATGTGGGTCCAATTCAATACAAACAGATAAATTTATAACATTTACATCACCACAGGATCAAATATTTACGTCTGAATGGCTCCTCTGGGTCCTGGTGTAAGTCTTCTACGTAGTGCAATAAAAAGGTGTCGGTTATTAGAAGAGTTCGGCTTAGCCCGCAAGATCGTAACGTTGCAATGCTAGACTTTACGGCACTGCTCTGCAATATTCTGTCGCCTAGCTTCCCAAGTTCAATCCATCCTCAATAACATCTTTCGGTACGTAGATCGGTACAAGGATTTTATCTAGTACAAGGACTCCTATCCAATACAAGGACTCTCTAAGTAGAGAGTAAACAAAAAAAACTTCGTCAAACAGCAAGTAATGTAAAAGGCGTTATATCGTGGATCGGATCGGTATCGATGAGTGTTTCGGCTTCAAGATTAAAATTCCATTTCGGAAAGTTGCTGTCGATTTAGATTCATTAACGACACAACATTTAAGTTGGCAAGTAAAAATGCTTTCGCAAATGGTTAATTCACCAACGGAACATGAAGATAGTAAAACACACACGT